TTCGTGGTTTGCGCGCTAATGTAAACTAACTTTCTGCCACATGCACCACATCATTCCCAATTCCCGAAAACTTCGCCATGGAAACTCATTAGTACTCACTTTATCCAAACGGATATACCAGCATTCTTCATGCAATATAAACCGAATAAAAAGGCAAACAACTTTACGACGTCGAGTCGGAATATGAGAGCTCGCGGGTAATATTTCTTGCGTCCTGCTTTTTTTCCGCGCTTTACACTGAGATATTTTACTTCAGCGAACTTTAACTGTTCCACTACTGGTTATGCGCCTTGAATGGGCTAGCAATTCATACGATTCGTCTTTTATTTTGATACAACAACGTCGGAAAAAAGTATGATACATGTTGCAATGTCCATTTGCTTGGAAAGCTGATGTGGGGTGGTTTGGGGTGCGCAGGGAAGCAGAAACGGGGCCGGAATAACTCGCATTTCCTCAACGCTTATTTTACATACGGAAAAAACTAGTCGGCGAACATTGTAAAATGACTTGGCAACATTTGTGCGCACGTAGGACGCATTATTCGTCCTCGCCCGTTCGCACCGTCATTTATCTAACCTATGATCAATGCTATCACATTTTTCATTAATAGCAAAATAGTGTTTCTCTAACACGGCCTATATATTCACTGAAAGGAAATGAAAAGCGTCTAATAACATAACCTAGTGATACAAGTCACGTTTGATTCGTTTGGCAGAAGTTAAGTTAGGTTATGTCGTTGAGAGTATGCAGAGACAAGCCATCGAATGCATATTTATGTATGCGTATTCGTTCGCAACGCTCACATTATCCCCAAATGTCATTTCAGTCGGCATCGTGACCTGACTCGCGTAATTTCCACCTCGACACCACGCGAGACCTTTCCAAGAGCGAGGCCCGCGCATGTTTTCGAAGCAAGCGGAGCGGCAATGTATGGAAATTGAGCTGTCGCCGGGAATTGGAAATAAAACGACATGCCTCACCTCTCTCAACACATACCGACACACTCATTCCACATATTATATTTTATTTTAACACGCATATCATACACACAAGGGAAGAAATCCTGTCTCCAGTATTGTCTATTCCGTTTGAAGTGTTCGCCCCGACAGGCAATACGCGGTGACATCTTCATTGCCGGCGTGTCACACCCAAAAGTTTAAACATTTTTTTCTGTCATCTCATATCAATATCCATACAGCGTGTGTACATAATCGGAATCGTGTATAATGACAAGTAGGACATCTGGTATTCCGTCTGTGGAAGGTATGAGGTAACATGGAAGAAAATGAATTCGGCGGGGTTTTTTTGCTTTGGTGGAATAAGGATGTTAACAGGGGATGACACAGGTAGCTGGGGAAGAAATGTTGGTTGAGGTGGAGGGCCCGCGGGTACACCAAGCAGACATTGCAGACAAGCTACATGGTAAACAGATGAAACGGAAATGAAATAAAGAGCAGTCGAATTCGGAATGATACACCAAATGTAGGATTGGTTGTCTAACCGGCATCAGTATGCAAATGTGTGGGGATGGCACAATATTTAGTCGCTGGGGGGTTTTGAAATTTGCTTCCCTTCCTTTTGATACATCAGACGTGAAATTTACATTTCTGGAGCAATTGTTCCGAAAAATATCTCCGCCTCCATTTGCATAATTATTTATTAATATTTTCCTGTATCTTAATAAATTTAAATTAATTTTCAAGAAAACTACATTAACTAAATTAGAAAAAAAATATCAAGGTTGATTAAGTACACAACACACGCATCATAATAAAGCTAAAAGGTGGCTGAATGAGGCCACGGCTAAGAGCAGTCGGATACTTTAAACTGGAGCACTTAAAACAAACTTTCCTCTATGCCACAACCCTCAAAAGAATGAAAAAAAAAATCGCACGGAAGTAATTAGAAATAAAGTAGACAAAACGTTCCGCAAACAATAATAATGCAATTCGTGTGCGTTGAATGCTGAAGAACAAAATATCCAAAAAGCCAAATCAGGTTGCCACGGAAGTAAAAAGAAAAAAATAAATACATTGCGATAGCTAAAGCGTGCACACGCCGCTTGTTTGTCGATGTGCGTTCTGGTGTAAAACGCGCTTCTTTTTTGCGGGACGTGCTGCGGCGGCGGGCTGTCCCCGGCGGCAATTTGCGGCTGAAAGCGTGCACACACAAAGTGACCAACGCGCGGCGGCGTTTTGAATGTGGAATTAAGTTATGCCTGCGCGATATCGCGGTTTCAATTACCGAGCGCCGAAACTCGATTTTGCGACCAGTCCGCAAAACCATCTGTGCTAGTTCCGCCCGAAAAAGGTATTACGTATTCTGATTGCCAGAATTAGTCAAATATTTACCGTACAGGAAAAAAATTATAATTAAATCATTGTAATTTAACTATTCGATGAAAAAAAAACACAACGTGTTAGAGATTAAAGATTACAAGAGATCAGGGATTTGTTCTGCCGGTGGACAAATCCCAGCGCTTAAAGAAAACGCGAACGGAAATTATAATGAAACGATTTCGTCCGGGAAGAGAAGGCGCGTGACTTTTCCGGCGTCGCACGAGTGCACAAAAGGCGCCAGAATCTTAAGATCAAGCCCCCGTAGAACGTGCACAGGTCCTCGTGTCAGATGAAAAGCATTGCGGTGTGCCGCCGCCGCCGCCGCCGCCACAATGGGACGCAAACATGCATAGGAAACCTGTCGCTAAACTCAAACCATATTTGCTTTGTCGTAAACCGCCGCCAAACACCTCGCTCGCGGCGAACGGAAACGCATCTTAAGAAACCGCGCGTGAAAGCCTCCAAAAGAGCAAATATGTAAATATGTACCCTTGAGGAAAAAAGTATGCAAAGCAGTCGAACGCGCAACATATCTAACAAAAATATTAAAACGATTTGCATCGCATTATAATATATCACACGAGATACTCGCGAAAAAACAGAGTTTTTAGGTTAAATTTCGAGCTAAAATAAATACCAGGCCGGAATTTCAAATTGAAAATAGCGGAGTACTTTGTAACGTTTAAATAATTGCAATAACACGAAAATTCAATCAATCGATCGATTGAATAATTTACTTTTATGGTCAATGGAATTGTATAAATATTTAAATAGTTTTGAATGAAATAATTGCATAAAGCAAGTTATTCATGAATTACTCCAAAAATAATTACCATATTGAATTTTTTTCTTCACATCAATTTTAAGTATAAAATTCTTCATATTTCTGCAAAATATTAAACGAAAAACAATTTAAATTCAAAATTTATGAGACTATTAGTATTTATTTTGTGAAAAATAACAAAATTTTATTTATATTATTAATAACTTTCGGTGTAATAATTTCACCAACACAATTTTTATGCAAATAGAAGCAGAATTTAATTAAAATTTTATCTTTGCAAGAATTATGACGATAACACAAATAATTGTCGAGTAATCATAAAAAGAAAAGCAATTATAATTATGAAAAGTACTATTTGCTAATTTAATTTAAATTCGCTTTAAATCAAAACGAATAATATTATAAATAGAAATTCCCTGCTCATTATTATATTATATTGCCCATTAACAATAATGTATTGCCAACCAATTTCGATTGCATTTAATTTATTTCGCAGCTAATTAATATTTATCCTTGGCAACCGCAGGAAAATTAAATTCACAGTTTGTGTTTGCGCATGGAAAGTTTTTCGGAAAAACTTACTTTGTATATTTATATAATATGCGGTATGAATTTAGATGATAACGTGAAAAAGCAACGAGGATATTTGGATTAGTACGAAGTTGATTGATATATTGTTGGCTGAGCACTTGCGCATACACATTTTTGGCGTTTTAATGTGCTACGGACGTTAATTAACGGTCGGGGGGCTTTACCGTGATGAATACACCTAGACTGCCACCCATTTACTAACTAAACCGGGGGTGCACGCGCGGTTGACGAAAAATTTAATTTATTTTATGCATTTTGTTTCGAAAATCGCACGTCACTCACCGAAAAAACAAATGAAAGCATAATTTATTAATTAATATACCATCACAGTTATTAAAAACGACTAAAGAGGGTGAACAGTAATTAATTTCATCGTAAATCATTTATTGATTGTTCCATTTTTATTCAGGGTGTGAAAATTAATTGTTTATTAATGATTTTAGATAAAATTTTGATTTTTAAACGGAATAATTACTTAAATATTTAATTTTTTGCATTTGTAAATTTTGTAGGTTGAAAATTAACTTTTGAGATCGTGTTTGAACTGCTTCGTTTCAATTGGCGAGTGTGTTTAATTCGCTTGAAAAGCAAATCGAGCGCAAGCGAAGGACTACTTGAGCGGCGAAACGCTCAATTAGCGAAATAAACCCCCCAACCCTTCCACCTAAGATCATTCGACCGGTATAAATATCCGACGAGTGCCAAAGAGTGAAACCTACACTGCTTTTGCACAAAACAAGCGGAAAAGTAAAGCCCCAAAGGCGATTTGCCGATTTAAATTCATTTCGCACCACAACGCAACTCAAACTGATAAATATTTGCGTTTTATTTTACTTTATTTTATATTATTTCACATTCCAACCACCTACATGAAATATTCCACATGTGTAATTGATTATTTTTAATTAAAATGTTGATCAAAATAAAACCAACTTCGAGAAACATGAAAACAGAAAAAAATAACAGTAAAGATTGTTTGAGTTGATTCAGTGTTCGTTCATATTTCGTTATTTATGCTACCCGCGTAGCACCGGCACGTTCGGCAGGGTCTTACGTGGATATCAGAGATTAGATGCGAGATTAGCAGATCGCGCGATTTATACCCATAAACCACTGCAATTATCTGATATTTATTGCTTACCTTTTGCTGGCGGTCGCCCGGCACAGAAAATCTATGAAACCGGAGGCGTTGCGGGTTGCCGACTAATAAAATGGACCTCTATACATTCACATCACTTCCTTCCTGCGAATGATTTATTAATTTGCGTACTTTTATTGTGTTACAGAAAATCATTTCATATGCGACTGTCGCCTGGCATGGATGCACAGCTTACGCAACGCAACCAAAAACGAACGGATACGAAAACAACTCACCAATCTCGTCTGCTTCTGGGAGCAACCACATCCGGATGATTTGGACTTAGGTGGTGTCGCGCAATTGGACAAGCGAAAACCAGCGCACATAACGCACGCGATAATTATCACGGACAACTTGAATCCGCGCGACGAGGACTTCGAGGAGACTTCGTACGACGTCGGCAATGATTACAACTATGACCATCAACAGGACAGCTCGTCAAGTCATCGACGCGATAGTCGCGTGGAGATGGATACAGAAACACCGCCGGGAGTTAGCGGAGTTGAAACGACGCGTGACCCCTCCGAGCGTTATCTGTTTCAGATCCCAGTCAACGAGTTGCCCTGTCCGCTTACCGAGCAACCCACCGAGGAGACGCTGCGGAAGAACCTCAACACGCCCGCTTACTCAGACAGTAATTCCGGTACTTCTAGCCATTTACATTACTTGCTCGCGTTAATTGCGGCGATGCTCATCGTGCAAGTTGTCTAAACGCAGTGATTGGTATTATATTTATTTAAAAAATAAGAAAAACAACTCTAAGCGGATTCTGGAGAGCAATTTCGTTTTCGTATGATAATGAACGTCCAGCACATACACAGTATTTTCAGCCAGCGCACAATTTGCGCGTATTGTTGTGATTATTCGTATTATGCGTATTTTCATTGTTCTACGTCGAGACTGACGCAGGGTGGAACCCAGGGAAAAAATATATTCACCGGAGCGAAAACAATGAGGCAATTATCTTACGATTTCTTATAAAATGCAAATTACTTGAAATTGAAAATGTAAAAACATTTTTATTAACTTTTATTAACTTAACATAATATTTTTTTTGCTTGAAAATCATTATTCCGAGCGGGGATAAGTGCTTGTAACTGGGAAACCTCTCGAAAGTCAATAAAACTAAAACATGGCGGTAATTGAATTAAAATTAATTAGAGGTAACAGTAAATGAAGGGGATCTCGGCTCGTGCGCGTCGTGTAATTGTAAGATGTATAAGAAAATTGTTAGCTTGCACATCCAGCTTGGAGGAAACAAGCAGGACCAGAGTTTGAAAGCACGACTGGGGCACGTGTGCGGAACAGAGCAAACAATACGCCATAAATCTCACGCGATGGTGGAGGAGCATCCACAAGTCCGGAGCGACGTTCAAGCGGTTTTCAATCCCTTACACCTATACTCCCGCAACTCCAACCCTCCGACGTCTTCTATTCCTATCGCCACGCCATTATAAAGTGCTTATTTATTTTTAATCTGAGCGGATAGCAGGTACGCCAATATTTATTCAAAATATGGGCCGCAGGTAAATATATCAAAAATGTCCGCATAAATTTTATTACCGAGAGATAATTTTTTTTTTAACTTAATCTAAATATTTGAGGGTTTCGCACCACGCGTCAGTCTCGCATGGGAATTGATTTCTTTGTCGAATTGAAAATTTAACTAAATGTTTAACGAATTAGCAGAAACGAAGTAACTCGCAATTTACCATATCATTATTCACTAATAAACAAATAAACAACATTCACCAGCGCACATACACACACCAACACACACAAATTCTCAGTGTTTAACTGTGCGATAAAACGCGATCCAGTTGTAACTTTAAATTATTGTCTCGTTTCATTTCGGAATCCATTAATCGTAACCGAACATGTAATACTAAATGGAGACTCGTGTTAAAAATCCCCCCACATACACACAACCATGGATGTTTGCGGCTCAAGTAATTAATAAAATAAATGTCATATTTAATTATCAACTTTAGATAGTTATCATTATCATTCGCATACATCATCGGCATTATATTTCATGCACCAGCATTCACGATTTAAGATGAAATTTGTGTATAAACGTTTTTATATTTAAAAAGGGTCCTTCTATGATCTATGGTATTAATGATAAGAGGTGCTCACTGATAAATAAAATTGGGTAAAATATTAAAACATATTATGAACAAAAAAAAAATTTTTTTCATTTTTAATATTTTACCCAATAATAAATTCTATTAGATCTCATGAATATAATGCTCAGAGCATAAATTTGTTAAAAATAAATAATGTAAGACTAAAAAAACATCTTTTACAAAAACTGTTTGATTCATGAGTGTCCAATACAATTAACTGTAAACTTTTGCAATAGCAGACGTTGTGTCACGTCGATGAATGGTCGTGCACTAAAGCGTAAATATTTTTATGGCTATTAATTCTAAGTATAATGTTGTATCGGTTGTTGATTCTATTAATCCGAATGCACCAAATATAATAATACTAACCAAGTCATTTTGAATGTACGACTACAAACTAAGCAAACTGTTCTGGATTTTGTAAAAGTACCACACGAAAATAAATTACATTTCATTCATATCAAAAATAAAAGCAAAAATTACCAACAAAGGAACATGCGAATTATTTTTTGTTGTGTGTTCAGTTGCTGAGCCTTGTAAAAAAATATATATTTTCCCTATTCATTTCCTATGGTGCAGGCACGACGTGTATCGATTTTGGATTATTTTACGGCGCTAGCAACGCACAGGTACGTAAAAAAAAATAAAAACATTGAGTGGAAAATCTTATGAAAGTGGAAAATCGTTTTCCTCTACCTCGATATTAGTTATAATACTCTGTTAATGGGCAATTATTGCTGTATAACGTAGCAACCAAACTAATTAAGTAACAAAATTGTGAAAGACTCCGTCAATGCAGAGAAAAGTCATGTTAAACAACTTTCACCCTCCAGCAGCAAAACTAGCTTTATTTCTATAACATAATAATTAAAAATTATATTTTACACACGCGTGTTTAAAATGAATGCTTTACACATTCAGCAAATTTAATTAAAGCCACAAAGTTGAGAATTTATTCCGCTATTCATTAAAGTTAATAGAAAATGTTGAAAAAAAGAAGCCGGGCTGCGTCGGCCGACAGTAAATCAAAATGCAGCGCAAGCTCGAGCTTGCCGGGCATAAATTCTAATTCAATGTTATCCGGAACGCGAGTGTTTGTATGTACTGCGACACCGTCTCTAAATAGTGCTAGTTCGCTCGCTTTTGTCCATCTCGCGATAAATTACCGACAAACGGCATAAATTATCCCCGCCTGGTACCACCCTCCTCCCTTCTTGTACATTGCGGAAATAACAGGGGAGCGCATGTGAAGGCGCCGGGCACTGTGATGTAATACGGAGTTATCCTATTGAATCGGAAATGCATCGGAAAATATTTGCATGCCACGACATGCGTTTCCCGATTAAATTTAAATTTTGTTGAATGAATCTTTCAACGACCGGTTTTATCGAGGGTAGAGGCTAATAAGAAAGTATTATTTTTTTTCTTCTTTTAATTTAAGAAAAGTTTAAACGTTATGTTATTTAAAATCCTACGTATTCTCTGACGTTGGAAAATTTATTGGCGCACGTGTAGGCAACCCCCGCGATTCGGAAACTATTACTTCCTCTGAGCTGCTCCTAAGCTCGGGAGCTTTCCGCCGCGCAGCGTTGAAAAAGTACACGAATTTAATCAAGCCAACTCTGGCATTATTTTAACATAACAAAAGCCGGCCGAGTTAAACAAAGGAAAGTGAAAAAGCGCGACAAAAAAGAAGATCCGCACGTAGAAAAGGGTTGTGTACTAGTGGTGGTGGTAGGAGAAAATAATTACGGACGCTTCGGGGAGCGCTTTTTTCCGTCGTCGAGAGAGTTTGCTTATTGCGTCCGAGCTGTTTATGCAAGCCGGCCGGAATACACACAGAAGAAAAGGGTTGTTTTACAACGCGCATTACACGCCGAGAAGAGAGGGTACGGCAATTATGCGCCCCCTTTCGACATTATGGAAATCTTCGGTACACGCAAATCTAATCTGCTTCGTGCATTTGTGCATTCTAATGTTGCGAACGCAACGAGCGCGACGAGCCAAACTGGCCACGTGAAAAACTATAAAAGGTAATAGGACCGAGCTAGACTCGCACACAACCCTTATGACTGACCTGCAAGTTTTTGTCGTGTTAAACCACCGCTCTACATGTACGAGTAGTTTGTATAATTATTTGACGTCTAATTTAGTTTTTATTCATACGACGATCATAAAACTGGAAAATTAGCTTTTTTGGTGAAATATTTTTTTTGGGAGAAAAAAAGTTAAACGGCTAAATATCGTAATGCGTAAACGAATTCGGACAAGCAGAAGCTTTTACCCCCGCTGCGCGACCGTCAGTAAGGGAAGCTTGTTGAGACAAGTTAGAGGCAATAATCGTATAATCAAAGTCGACATTTTCCATTCCAATCTTCTTCGCCAGTATTTGTTTAGCGTTGCGGGTTTTAAACTCTTGCAACAGCCGCACCCTCCCCTACAACGCGCCCCGCTATTGCTACCAGTCTTAACAAAGTGAACGTCGGATCGTATCATATTCGATGGCATTGAACGCAATGAATTGTTCGCGACGGCACAGCCTGCGCCGTAAATTAATTACCACACTATGGGAACAATCCCTGTCGTCCTCGAAAGCTCCCGGCTCGTCCTTATCGGCGCTGGCTTCTTGTAACGCAAGACAATCATGCGGCAGGCAATAAATTCTCGCTGATTTTCACAAACAAGACAAAAAACAAAATTTTTAATTTTTTTATTTTGTGATATCAAGAGATTTTAACGAGTATCTAGGTCGATATTGAAATGTAAGTTATTAAAAGCCATGATGAAATGCGGTTTTTGATGACTTCGATTTTCAATCGCTCGTGCAGCGGCTTTATTCGGCTACGCACGAAAACGTTGTTTGCTTAGGGTCACTTGATATTTTCCGGCGGCGTGATTCGAAAACGTTTTGCCTCGGCAAAGCGAATATTCAAATACGTACACGCCGGCGATTCTGCTACATATTTGAATAACTCGCAGATATATTTGCTCGCGGGTGCAAAACGCCTCGACCTCTTTATTCCCGAAGAAGCCCGTCGCACAGAAAACTATTAGCATTACGCTTTTACAAGCCGCACTCTCGCCGAGAAAAGCATCCGATGCTTTTACTCGTTTTTCTTAATGTTTATTTCCCTCCGCGCATCGAAATATCGCCGGCGGACGCGGCGGATTTCCACACGTTTTTCGATTTCCTGTCGCCAAAGACTTGTTTATCCATTTTCCAATAGTGTCGTCCGTCCACTCCGACACACACCCGCCCACCGCACCACGGCGCCTCCACCATTCTACAATATTATATTCTCAGTTTTTTTTCTTCGGACGTTTTTCATTCTTTTTGGACAGTTTTCTTTGGATTTCGTACGATTTCTTGCTGTGTTGTCGTTTGAAACTCCAGCGGGAGTATTTTCACTCGATAAACACGACTGCATTGTGTTGTTTGCGTCGGCGGCGCTTCCACTCCCTCGGCGCGCCGCGTTTTTTCTCGGTAATCATTTTCGTTTTAAGTTTTGCACAGCGTTGTTTTGTTGTTAATTAAATATAAGCATGGTTTCTATACATGATCGCCTGTTGAGCGTGCAACTCGAGTGATTAATTCACGCGGCTCGCGACGTCAGAAACACGTTGCATAACTGAATTTGCTGCGTTGCAAAACTTTGATTGAATTTTAAAACTCGCCCACGTCACTGCAATCAACGTAAACATAAGTGAACTTGTGGGTATGTAATTTATGGTTAATTTTGGGTATTTAATGTGTACAAATTGCGTTCGGTGAATTTTATCACCGACATAAAAATGTGTTGGTTTTAGTGCACAATAAAATTACAATATAAACTGATTTAGTATTTCATAATTGCTTAGATTAACGTAGCAAATAGAGCAAACACTTTTCCATGCAGCGCCTATTATAAAATGTAATGTGAACAAATTTTATTTCGTTTTTGATGTTTGTTTTTTTGCTCAACCAGTAAAAATAAAATAAAAGCTCCAGAAACATGTTATAAATATTAATAGAATTGTGCAAAACATGAATTTCAATTTAAAAACTTTTTTGCGCTGAAAGCCATGTTTATGTTTATAAAATTTTAACCGCCGGAGTAAATAATGAATGATGGCTTGCTTTTATGTCGTTTTAATATTATCCATAAGTCAAATAGCAATAATGCACATTACAAACTTCCTGCCAAACACGAAAAATTGATTTGTATTTAACACGCGAATCGATCATAAGCCACGAACGCCTGCGGCAGTGATCGACTCGCGTTGTAAACATCAATTTAATAAATGTTGCCAACTAAATCTCACACGGCGCGTGAATGTGTGAGCACCGGAATTGTAATTCGTCATACAACGATTTATCAACGCACCGCGCACTGATTTTTTTCACTACTCGTGTAAAAAGTGCGCAGTGGGCGTGGCTCCGGTGCTTGGAAATGAAAAGAAAGTGTACAAATAAAGCCATTACTAGCGTAACTATGATTTATCGCGGTGTTAACTGTTGATCTGAGCTCGAATACCGGGATGCTCGGAATACAAGAGGATTTTCGGCATGGCGCTGTTCGGATTGTCGTCGTGTGCTAATTCGTGCGCGCAAGGGAAGTGAGTATGGCGTGTGCTACAAAGTGCGGACAGAGCACAATCCGATTATACGCGTTACTGTATGCGAATTTAAGAGGAGTACGCTCACATCCTATTAATTTTTCAGCCGGTGTTTTTAACGCCGCGTCGTATCTTTTAGTTTAGCTTTCGGTTTTAGTTTTTTTCACTGCGCACACACGTTGGAATTTATCTCCCCCCGGGCGGGTTTGACCATTATTACGAGGTGGTAAAAGTTTAAGGTGTAATCGTAACATAAAACGTAATTTAAACCAGCACTACGTATACACGAAAATAATATTTGTGTTGATTTGGCTGCGTATATTGCATTTTTATATAGAAAATTAATAGCATTGTTGGTTGCATAGGTTGTAATGAAATAAATTGCTCGGAAATCATAAGCTGACGTACATAATGCTAGTTTTCTATACACGAAGCGAACAAAACCATTTTACACGACCGCAATTTCCACGCAAATTGCAAACTTTAAAAACCGTAATTTCCTTGAAGCTTTCCCAATACGCGCGGCATAAATTACATCAACCAGTGTTGTGGGTAGTGTATGCCTGGTTGCCTGTTAGTGCATTACTTAATAGCCCAGGCACGCACACTTCATCACTTTCACCACACAACAATCGCGCGTAAACTATGACTGAAAACTTTATAAACTTCTGTACTTGAACACTCCAACAGGTAACAATGGTCCCAAGTTGGTCGTATTCTTAGACGACGCAAACTACAAAAGGAACGTGCCTACGTCCCCCGAAATCTGAATCACAATCCGAATGTGATTATGTGTACGTGTAGACGTTGAAAGACAAGCGCGCGCGCGGCTTGTGTTTGCGCGATTGTTCAGCGAATTAGTTAGTCAAGTAGCAATGACAATTATCAAGCATGACAT